GATAGATAGATAGATAGATAGATAGATAGATAGATAGATAGATAGATAGATAGATAGATAGATAGATAGATCCAAATATCATGGATCACATTATAATAATGATGACATGCCATTCACTTCAAAGATATTGCTAAAACCCCACTCCCGTCTTCAGCTATCTGCATTCTGCCTTGTCTTAATGGCGGTCGCTGCGTGGCTCCATACAGATGTCGCTGTCCGGAAGGCTACACAGGGTCCAGGTGTCAGAGAGGTCTGCATCCTTTCCTCTCTTCTGTCTGTCTGTCTGTCTGTCTGTCTGTCTGTCTGTCTGTCTGTCTGTCTGTCTGTCTGTCTGTCTGTCTGTCTCATTCCCTCGCTTCCCATTCTTTGTGACTATACAAGTGTGTGTCTTCTTAAATTTTCTCCTGAAATATCTTCTTTAGCTGAGTTTTCGGCGTTAGGCTTGAGATAGTACAGGTGTCAAACATCCATAGTTAGTTAAAATATTGAAGTTTCTCTTACACCAAAAGATATAATAATATAGATCTATTACATACGCTTAAGAGGCCGTTTCACATGAAGCGGTGTGTGGCGACGGAAAAAGTCCGTCGGCTGTGTTTGGAAACCGCTGCTTTTTGTTTGTTCACTCAAGCTGTTCTCATGAGACGGAATACAGCCGCAGAAACCGTTGCAGAACCTTAGCTGTGTTTCAGAGACCGGTTCCAGGAGTGAATTTTGAGACACCGTTGCGGTGTGGCCTCTGTGGCCTTCTGTAGATTCGAACATTGATAGACCCCCCCCCAAAAAAAAATATTGGATGGATCCAAAAAATAAGCCCAGTTAAAAGAAAAGTGGCCCTTCAAAATTAGTCCATTTGCTCGCGAGCACCTTAATTTTTGTGATATTAGAAAAAATGTATATAGATCTATAGATTTCAACAAAAGTTAGAGACCACTTGCGAACACTCTGAGAGGTATTCTTGAGCAAACCTGCACGTAGGCGCTTTTTGGACTTATCCAGTGGCTAAATGGCACTGCCTCAGGCGGACAATGACAGAGTATGACCAGAGGTATGACACTGCTAGCCCTCTGGCAACTTCTTGGGCTCCAACTCCGTCCTGTAGCCACGCCATAGCCCAGGCACGATCAAAGTCTCTCAGCTTTCGTCTAGGTGGCATGTTGATGCGACACCGGATTTTGCGCAAACGGTGGCTTATTATATTGCCTCCAAAGTGAGCATAGTTCGAGACCGTACGTCCGTTTATGACGTGCACCAGAAATTTTAACTGTGGAAAATCCTTGGTGTCGCACACAAGTCGATAAAAAACAGCAAATTTTGATAAAATTCCAAGAGGATTTCCGTGCTGCACGTGGTGGTTTAGGTTCTTTATGAGGCTTTGCAGTACGCGTTGGTAACCCATTAACACTTTCAGAGCAAAAATTTCGAAACATTCCTTGCTGTCTTTTTTTTGGATATTTTTAAAAATTAGGACACTCTGTCAAGGTGGTCCTTAACCTTTGTTGAAGTCTGTTTATATTACATATATAATGATA